ATTTGAATGTGATAGTTATAAGAGAAAAAGTGATGCTGTGAGACTAAGGATGAAAGTCTAACGCCTTGTTTGGCAAATGACTTTTTTAGTCAAAAAGTTACTAAAAAAATTAAAAAACCAACAACTCATACCAAAAAGTCAAAAATTTCATTTTCTCTCTATTTTTTGTACATCTTTTCGTAAAAAGTCAAAAAGTCATCCCAAACATATTAGTTTTTTTTACATCACATTTTAATCAAAAAGTCAAAAAATTACTAAAAAAACATGTTCTCAAATAAGGCCTAAACGTGATTGGCTGCGCCTGACACAAGGGATATTTTTAAGAAAATGAGAATTAATATGAAATTTTTTTAAATAAATAAGATACTAGTTACATTATAGAAAATATTTACATTAGATAGATTACTAATCGACAATATTTAGAACATAACCATGCAACAAACAAAAAGTAAACATTAGGTGTAACACTAATATCACAAAGTTATTCACTTAGGGTTTGTTTGGGAATCAAAAATTTTAGTCAAAAAATTAAAAAGTCATTATAAATTTTCAATTTTTTTAAAAAAACTCATAATAAATTAAAAAATTGCTAAAAAATCTAATCTCTAAATGAGTCCTTAATTTATTTCTAACTTTTTACTTATTAGTGACATTACGTTAAAAAGAACTTATCGATATCCTCAATAATTTTTTTTTATTTTTTTTATTTTTTGGCAAGAAAGGATCGAAGGTACTGAAATATCACAACCATCCAATTGATGAAGCAGGGGCCATCTTTACGGTCTATCTTTTAATGACCATATGGTATGGTTTCTTGACCTACAGCATAGAGAAATTTACAAGGAACTGTTTGGACCACTGGAAACTTGGTACAAAAAACAAATGCATGTCAGTACGCCCATAATCCATAAACAAAAAAGCATGAGATTTTTAATTTATAATTGCATTTTTAATTTATTTTTTATTGCTAAATATGTTTAGATTGTATTTAGATTATAAATTTTGATATGAATTTATATTTCACATATCTTTCCATTTTTTTCTTTTTTGTTTTAATTTCAATCAAAATTAATGATTCAAATACACATTATGAAACAAACAAGGACAAAGATTTAAAAGACAGAAGACATGGTCCAGGTGACGTGACTAGTTATGGGCTCAGTCCTGAGCTATAATTGGGCTGAAAGATAGGCCCCCATTATCCGCGGGCAAACTGCAACATGGGGTGAGTCTATTTGCACTCAAAAAATAATTCAGTAAGTTTAATTAAAATTTAAAAAATTAAAAAATTATTATATTTTAATATAAATTTATTAATAAAGACAATATATATTAAATTTTAAAATAAAATATTATTTTTTTTTCATGGTACATCTTAATCACTCATGTGTTCTTGATATTCAAGTCTCTTCATTTTTTTTTCATAAGTTTCAATCATTTTCTTTACATTTTTTCCCTCACTCCAAAACTCTAATTATCTTACCAAAACTCACCATTATCTTCAATATCATTTAAATATTGTACAAAAGATTGAAATTCAACTTTCAATACAAAATCTGTAGCTTTAACTTCATTCAATAGGTACTTGAATATATATGCAGTGTGCACACTCAAAAGTACTATGAATTTGAACCAGAAATTGAAAAAAACAAAAACAAATAAATAAATAAAACGAGTTTCCATAAAACAATTGAGTTTCAGACGGTACCTATAGTGATGAATTAGGGTTGTACTAATTAGTCAATTGAAATGATTTTTCAAAATAGTGTAATTTTGTGTTTTTGATTTGTTTATTATTTAGGTGTATCATAAATTATGATTTTATTTTGAAAGGTAATTTGTGAAAAAATATAAGGTGTATTAAGAGTAAATTATAACTCTAAATAATTTACTAGAGAATACTGAGAAATTGGGTGTACTGAATAATATTTTGAGTGCAAATAGAATCCCCCTGCAACATCTGGTTCTTGGACGCCAAATTATCTCAAGTTTGAGAATATTACAACCGAAAAATTATTCAGTAGGCCCAAAATATCATGTTATTATATTAATGTGGTGTGTTAAACCAATTAGCCCCGGTACAGAGCCCGAAAATCGGGGCTCGAATTTGAGAAGGAAGAAGGAGGAAGAAGAAAAAGAAGAAGGAGAAGTAGAACTAGAGGGGGCCATAAAAATGGGGCCGGTGGCGGAGGTGGGACTGCGATGCGACGAGCGACGATCTGCGACGACGACAACGAAATTGGGTGTACTGAATAATATTTTGAGTGCAAATAGAATCCCCCTGCAACATCTGGTTCTTGGACGCCAAATTATCTCAAGTTTGAGAATATTACAACCGAAAAATTATTCAGTAGGCCCAAAATATCATGTTATTATATTAATGTGGTGTGTTAAACCAATTAGCCCCGGTACAGAGCCCGAAAATCGGGGCTCGAATTTGGCTCGAATTTGAGAAGGAAGAAGAAGAAGAAGAAGAAGAAGAAGAAGAAGAAGAAGAAGAAGAAGAACTGGAGGGGGCCATAAAAATGGGGCCGGTGGCGGAAGTGGGGCTGCGATGCAACGAGCGACGAGCGACGATCTGCGACGACGACGACGACTCTCTCTCTCGCCTCTCGCCTCTGTTTCTCTCTCGTCTGTGTTCAAACGAAGAAGAAGAAGAAGAAGAAAAGAAAGAAAGAAAAGGAAGGAAAAAGAAAAAAAAATATATCAAAACGCAAAACGATGTCATTTTACATTTCAGGCCAAATTTGAACCTTGATTTCGGGTCTTCAAATATTTTTCTAAACCAATAAAATTTTTTTAAAAAATGATAGTTATTTTTTCAAATAAACAACACATTGACAGAGTTGTTAAAATTCTTTCATATATTGTGATTTTTTTTCTCCATATATTATTTTCATTGATCAAGCACACACTACTAATCGTGGTATGTGTTCTCATAAAATAACTTCTCCGCAATGAGTTTGTAGAACTGCTCTAAAACCACTTCACAAAAAACATCAAACCAACACATTAGTTGAACAAGCCCACTCATCAATCTCCATTAGACTTATATAGCATTGGTAAAATCAGGATATTTTGATAAACAGACTTTGCATATCCTCTTAAAAAAAAAATTAAAAAAAAAAAAATGTAACATCATTCGACGTTGTACAAAGATATTTGCCTAAAATGGCGATAGAAGAGAGATAAGGTGGTGGAAAGATATTTTGTGGTGGATTGTGATGGTGATTATATATATATATATATATATCAATTATTTATAGCACTCAAGTACTTGCTTGTATGTGTCAAAAAGTTACTTATCATCAAAACAAAGTTAGTGGTAACAATTTTTCCACTATCAAATATAGAACTTTTCCATTGGCCTAAACGGTTTACCATTTTCTATCTCAATTTATTATTATTTTTATCTTCTTACTCTGATTTATTTGTTGCTCTTCATATAATAATATTCTCACAATTTTTTTTTAAAACACATGTATTATCGGCTAAAATCACTATTAAGGCCTCGTTTGGGAACATGTAACAAAGTTAGTGGTAACAATTTTTCCACTATCAAATATAGAACTTTTCCATTGGCCTAAACGGTTTACCATTTTCTATCTCAATTTATTATTATTTTTATCTTCTTACTCTGATTTATTTGTTGCTCTTCATATAATAATATTCTCACAATTTTTTTTAAAACACATGTATTATCGGCTAAAACCACTATTTAAGGCCTAGTTTGAGAAGACTAAATAAGTATATTTTTTGATTTTTTGTGAAATATGGGTTGGATTTGGGTTGAGTTTGAAGTGATGTGTTAGAGAGGTGATGTGACTTAAATAAGATGATGTGACTTAAATAGGATAGTGACTTTTTGACTTTTTATCTTTTTTCAATCATGCCAAACTTGGCCTTAGTCATCTAAAACCGTTGACTACCAATGGTAGGAAATAGATAAGTAAGGAAAGGAATAAAAAAATCCAGAAAACCAACATCACACATCTTCGTTTAAAAATTTACTATTTAAATTAAAAATAAAAATAAATAATGTGATAATTTATTATAATATTTTTTGACTTTTTAATTAAAAATCACATTCTCTAGATGGGAGCATCACGTTGAAATTGGTCTCACAAATAATATTCAATTAGAAAAAGACTTGAAATGCTTAAAATCTTACCATTAATTATTGATTCAGTAGAAATCAAACACTAATGCTAATCCCTATCACATCATTATAAGTGAATTTATGAAGTAACCTTCTAACACTCTATTTCCATCATGGGAGGAGAAAGAAAAAAGAAATTGTGATAATTTGCCTAAGTGAGAATAGAAAAGAAAAGAAAAGAAAAGTAATTTCACTATCATGTTTGAATGGTAAAAAAGCAAAATATAAGGATACAGGTGGAATTTAATTTCCTTTCCTTTGTATTTTAATTGGTAATCTCAATATTTGAAAAATACACCACTAATTGGTTTGTTTGTCACTAAATCTCATAATTTTTAGTGAGAAATGAAAATTTTAAAATAAGAGAATTCTCGTTCTTGTCATTTCTTACCTAACCTATACACTAAAACATGAAAAAAAAAAGAAAAAAAAAAAGACATTATTCTTTGCATTACTTATAAGGGTTTGATTAACAAGTATGTTAGAGGTATAAATTTGACGCATGTTTTATTAAAATAATATACTTTTTAATATTTTATTATTTATTCTCAACATACTTTTCACACTTATCCTAAATATTAAACAATGTCATACAACCCTCATTATTTAGTCAACTTTTCACCAAATCACTCGAGTACAAGAGAGTCTTTAAGACCATCTCCAACGCTGAACCAAACCTGGCATCAAATTTAAAATTTGGTGAAAAAGTCACTTTTTTAAGCTCCAACGGTTTCACCAAATCGATATCAAATCCAGAGTATAAATTTGACGCATGTTTTATTAAAATAATATATTTTTTAATATTTTTTTATTTATTCTCAACATACTTTTCACACTTATCCTAAATATTAAACAATGTCATACAACCCTCATTATTTGTAGTTAACTTTTCACCAAATCACTCGAGTACAAGAGAGTCTTTTACAATTTGTTTAACTATTCACCAAATCACTCAAGTATAAGAGAGTCTTTTAAGAGACCCGATGAATTATTGAAGAAAGAAAAGCTTTAGGTAAGGCTTTAAAATCTGGCAGCTTCTCAATCATCTTTTTGGCTTTATTGTTCGGTTTCGGTTCCAAGTAGAGCAACAAAACAATGGGAGGACCATTTTCCTGGTAATAAGCTCGAATCACGCACCCCCCAAAAACGGTCCCCAAATTCCGATAACCACCAAAGCAAAATTACCACAAATTAGATGCTCTTTCCAAGTCCTTTTCTAGTTGGAATCTTCGCAACATGTTCTCTAATACCCAAAACAAAAACACTTTTTTCTCTTTTCTCCTCCAAGAAATTCAGCTAGTAGTAGTACCCAACAAATATTAATAAAAAAAACCCAGTTCCAAATGGTGAGTTTACACCGCCGCCTTCTCGACACACACCCGGTGGCTGCGCCGCCGCCACAGACAGGTAGCAAAACGAACAACACCTCATCATCGTATGCTGTGGACACGAGTTTCGACACCAACATGGTGATCATATTGGCGGCTTTGTTTTGTGCACTGATATGCGCACTTGGGTTGAACTCAATTGTGCGTTGCACGCTGCGGTGTAGGCGTAGAATTGCGATGGAGACAGCGGAGCAGGCGGTGGCGGCGACGCTGGCTGCCACCGGACTCAAGAAGCACGCTTTGCGTCAGATTCCGGTGGCAGTTTACGGGGCATCGGGGTCGAGTATTTCTGCCACTGAATGCTCAATTTGTCTAGGAGAGTTTTTGGATGGAGAGAAGGTACGGGTTTTGCCAAAGTGTGACCACGGGTTTCATATCAAGTGTATTGACAGATGGCTCGTGTCGCACGCGTCGTGCCCCAATTGCCGCCACTCGTTGGTTCTCGAGAGGCCAACCAATTCAGAGGAAGCATGTGGAGCTCAAAACAGGTCTGAGCCACCATAGCAAATTAGTGGTTACCTTGACTGCACTCAAAATTTGTTGTCCAACCTCAAGTTTGTATTGTATTGGAGGCCAAATCACGATTGATCTAATGATAGTAGATATCAGATTTGTAGATATTTTATTGGGGACTTCTTATGAGGTTTCTAGTTCATGGCCTAAAGAAATGAATTCACTATGTAATTGGGATCATTGAATTGTTAATCTGTAACTTATCTAAAACTTTAACGCCGTGTTTGGTTGAGGGATTTGAGGAGGGAATTGGAAAGGGAAAGGGAAAAGTTAGTTGAAATGTAAATAAAATATAAATACATTTCACCTAATTTCACACACCTTTTCCCTTTCCTTTTCCAAATCCCTCTCCGATATTTTATTGGGGACTTCTTATGAGGTTTCTAGTTCATGGCCTAAAGAAATGAATTCACTATGTAATTGGGATCATTGAATTGTTAATCTGTAACTTATCTAAAACTTTAACACCGTGTTTGGTTGAGGGATTTGAGGAGGGAATTGGAATTGGAAAGGGAAAGGGAAAAGTTAGTTGAAATGTAAATAAAATATAAATACATTTCACCTAGTTTCACACACCTTTTCCCTTTCATTTTCCAAATCCTCCAACCAAACACAACATAAGTGATAGCTTGGCTCTGCTTTGATACCATGTTGAATTTAGTCTTTAACTAATTGTAATTGGAATTCATTCATATGAATTTTTTTTGAGAGAATGTGAGAAATCATGAGTTTTAGAAATTCCTCTTAGTTGGAAGAAGGGGGGTTGGGAATTTCACTTGTTTAAACTCAACCAGCATGAATCGCTAAATGGAGCTCAAGAATTGCTGTTGACTCCAAGCAATTTTCTTGACACAAGAAATATGGGATTGAAGAGAATTTGTAGAGGATGCAATTAAGAAAGATTATGGGTAGAGGATTGATATATATCACTTGGTGAACTTTACCGAATTTTTAGTTTTATTAGGATTTACATACCAATCGCATGTACCCATCATTTATTTTATTTTTTATTTTTTTTGAATATGGTAGACTATATAAGCATTGCTTATGAGTATCATTTTATTATAAATATTAAGATTAATTATATTTATCTCTTTCAACTATAAGTATAATATCATTTTACCCTCTCTCTTAACTTCTGAAAGGGTGATAAATTTTGACCACTTAATGACTTTTACTGTTTGTTATTGACTAGTGACACTTTGATATTCTTTCTGAGAGGAGGGCGGGTGGGTGAAGTGAGACGGGGTGCCTTGCTTCAACTAACCAATGAAATGTTAGGATGATATATAGGCCCCGTTTGTTTTCAGAGATAGAATGGAGAGGATTGATAGTGAGGGGATTTTCAACTAATCAATGAAATGTTTTGGGGATATATAATATAAATATAGGCTATTTATATACGGTCCGGATCAGTTTCAATTCGGAACCATAAGGTTCAATCTGGAATCAATCCATGCAGTGCGAATTTTTAATTTTTTTAATACGGAACCGAATTACGGATTTAAAAAATCAATCTAAACCTACCGAATTGAACAGAACCAGATCAGATTACGAATATCATAGATTTCTTACTCAGCAACATTGTTGAATCAGCACCATGTGGTCCGGACTTGGGCTGGGGCCTGATTGTCCTTTGTGATATGGACTTCAAGGTTGGAATTTATGAGCCTACTAGTACATTGGGCCCAAGGCATGAGGCTAAAATGCCTGAGAACCCACTACTGATGGCCCACAGTCTGCCCCAACCCACAAGAAATATGTCCAGTACCTAATGATTTAGCAATGGTAACTCATTTAGGAGGACACACTGAGTCGGATTGGTTTTGTTTTTAATAATCCAGTGTTTGAATTAATTTTAAAATATTAAAAGTAATGACCGAGTAATTTTAAACCGTTGATGACCCGTCAAATATATATAATTTAAATGGCAGGCACGTGACAGAAAGCAGCGGCACCGGCCAGGACAGGACATAGTTATTAATAAATAAGGACAAAACAGTTGAGTTGATGTGAATTTTGGTTGGGTCCGACTAACAATCCCCTCACTATTAATCCCCTCATTATCAATCCCCTCCATTCTATCTCCCAAAACAAACGGGTCCCAAGGGTATTAGTAATACCAAGGTATTAGTAATACCCTCCTCATCTCTCAAAACAAACAAGGTATTAGTAATACCAAGGTATTAGTTAGTCCCAAGGTATTAGTAGTCCTATGGCTATCTCTCAAAACAAACACCCCATATACTAGTCCCAAGGTATTAGTAATCCTAATCCCCTTGCTATAACCCTAAACAAACGGGGCCATAATATAAATATAGGTTATTTGTATACGGTCCGGATCGGTGAGGTCCAATCGGGAACCAATCCGTGCAGTGCGAATTTTTAATTTTTTTAATCCGGAACCGACTTACGGATTTAAAAAATCAATCCAAACTTACCGAATTGAACAGAACCAGAACCAGAACCAGAACCAGAACCAGATCAGATTACGAATATCATAGATTTCTTACTCAGCAACACTGTTGAATCAGCACCATGTGGTCCGGACTTGGGCTGGGGCCTGATTGTCCTTTGTGATATGGACTTCAAGGTTGGAATTTATGAGCCTACTAGTACATTGGGCCCAAGGCATGAGGCTAAAATGCCTGAGAACCCACTACTGATGGCCCACAGTCTGCCCCAACCCACAAGAAATATGTCCAGTACCTAATGATTTAGCAATGGTAACTCATTTAGGAGGACACACTGAGTCGGATTGGTTTTGTTTTTAATAATCCAGTGTTTGAATTAATTTTAAAATATTAAAAGTAATGACCGAGTAATTTTAAACCGTTGATGACCCGTCAAATATATATAATTTAAATGGCAGGCACGTGACAGAAAGCAGCGGCACCGGCCAGGACAGGACATAGTTATTAATAAATAAGGACAAAACAGTTGAGTTGATGTGAATTTTGGTTGGGTCCGTCCAGTGGGTGGATCGTGGCGTGGATACGTGGTTTTGCCTTTTAAAAGAGTAACCGTCTGATGTGTATAATACGCCATCGCTCATAATCTGACGGGGACGGGACCACTTCTTCGCAGTCAAAAGCAACCCGCCACTCTCTTCAATGGGACTTTTGTGACTATTATATCACATTATACACGTTCTGCAACCTTCTTAATTTGCCTTCTCATTATCATACTCAAAATTTAAAATTAAAATACTTGGCTTTTGTAGGGTAAAACTTTACTACTTTTAGTTTAAAAAAAAATATGAAATATATTTATATTTATTTTGAGTAAAAACAAAAAGATAAATATACTTGACATACAATTATTTTAAAATTTTATTTTGAAAATAAATATAAAAAACAATTACTTGAGATGAGGTAATTGTCTACGATTAAAAATAATATTGGTAGTGTTGTGATTCCTTTTAAGTTATGGAGGGTTATTGGCCATCAAAGATGATTGTCATTGGTGAGCGGTAATTAGCGGTGGATGGAAGTGACTGTCAACCATGAGAAGTTGTAGTCAAAAGTGATTGTCAATTATTGAAGATAATAACTAGTTGGCTGCCTAAGGTAGTTACCACGCTGATAGTTGGTTGACAGATGTGATCATCAACGATTGTAGCTGGTGGTGATAATGAACATTGAGTGATAATTGGAAAGGGTATGAGAAAGTGGAACAAACTGAAAAAATAAATTTAAATAATTAAAACCAATTTATTTATTTTTTGTGATTGAAAAATTTAATAAATTTTGTAAAATGTTTATAATTTTTTTTTTTAAAAATGTAAACAAGAATTAAATGATTTTTTTAGGAAAACTTAGCCGAAATCCTTCTATTGGATCCTTATTTGGTAAAAAAGATAACCCAATTTGTTTTGTTTCATAAACTTCCTAAGGAGGAACCGTATACTTGAGTAAAGGCAAAGTAAAATATTTTTTTTTTCTTGGACAATATTGTCAGAGTAACATATTACTGTAAAACAGAATAACATGTTACTATTTACATTAATTTCGAAGGTAATAATTTTATTTTTTTTTAATTTCATAGTCAACATGAATCTTATTTGATAGATCTTGATGAGAGGATTTTAAAAATATTAATTTTATTAAAAATCGATATCTAAATCAAAAGTTGTATTATTTTAAAATTTATTTTAGTAATAATAGTATGGGTTAGATTTTTCAACGAAAACTTTTTATACTTATTTTTAATACATTAAAGTTTTATTATGAAGGGATTTTGATCAAATCTCCTTTTCTTTTTCTTTTTTTCAAAATTTCTATAAATATAAATAGAAAAATTGTAAATATAAATATTACCAACCAGGCTTTTTATGTGTATACATCTTAAGAGACTTACAAAAATTATACATTTTGTATAAAAATATATATAATAAATAATTTATAATTTAAGAAATTTAATATAATTATATCAAATGTTCAAAACTTAATATATATATATATATATATTTTAGGGAGGTAAGCGTAATTTAATAAAAATATTCATAAATTAATAAATAATGTATACAACGGAGACAAATTGTAAAGTTGTTCAAATAAATAATAATAAAATTTCAAAGGTTTGACTGGGGGGCTGTTGTGGGAAACCACTTGGATCCAGGCGCCCTTCTTTGAACGTCGAGGTGCCGCTCGTATCCTCCGCCTCCTTTTCATCCTTTCATTAATTTCCTGTTTCCATTACTACTCTTTAAAATGATGAAATTACCTTTTCTTGCCCCTCCATCACCCAACTAAAAATTTGTCCATAATATGTGAAGGTATATATATTAATTGAAAGATTAACAATGAATTGAGTCGCACCATTTCGAATATGCAAAAGGAATAAATAATTAGTGCTTCTTGAACGACGGTTACTGGTCGGAGGATACTTTGACAATCAAGTTAAATATCATATATCTAAATCAAATTGAATAAGTAAATAGAATAGTTGAGGCATATCTTTCCCCCACTAGAGTTGAAGATTACATCTCTTTATGTAGGCTAACTTGTCACTCATTTTGTCCAATGACGTTAAGTCACCAAATTGGTCCAATGAAATGAGCCACTTATATGGCCCAAAATCCATTTAATGCATGTATGCCAGAACAATTTGGCAAGTTGCATTGCAAGGCATTATTTTATTATCTTAATTCTATTTTTATGTACATGGGTTAATTTTTATCCCTCCACAAT